CCAGGCGACGGAGACGTTTTGCGATTATGACGAGCACATCTCGCATCAAGCAGGACTGCAGAATATGCATCGAACTTTGAGGTTAGCCACGGCTTTCACCACGGAAGATCGTCTGATCACCAAGATCACGCCCGGTACTTCTAACTCTAGCTCCAACTAGGTTGCACTGGAGCGGGATACTGTGGACGAAAGTCAGAGGAAACCCTCTTTCTGAAAATACAAGCCACCGATTAGAAAGAGGCGAAGCAACCCATTCTAGTAAACCTCGGCTGTCAACGCTGTTGTGCAGACTATAGCCCGAAGCAGCCACCAGCTCTTCTTTGGTGTTTACGCATGCACCATGGACTCGGATCGGAAGGCTGAGATCCCAAGCAACCTTATCAAACACGGAATCACTGACTGATTTGGCACTGGGTAGACAGAAGCTTTTTAATGCACGCTCTTCGCTGAATTGGGATGGTTGCACTCAGATTCTGGATACCAAGACGCCATATTGATTACCGGCGTGAATGTAGCTAACTGAGGTAACCTTTGGTAAACGTAACCTAATGTAATTGTTTGACCTTTTGAGTGTGTTTCGGTGAACTTGTCCAAGCACGGGTGCACATATCGGCCTCGGTGTCAAGTAGTTCCTTGTGATCTCCATTATTTGATGAGGCTTCAACGGGGCACGCGTCGCCTCATCAATAAATTTGAGCATCTGCCCTCAGTGGTTGCAGACTTTCTTCCCCTTGAAAGTAAAGGGGATGCCCAAATATGTCACGGTTTTGGTCGGACCCAGAGGATTGATGAGTCCCTCGGAGAACCAGCTCTTCCCAACTCGAATGCAGTAGCTTCAAGCTTCTCTTTGGGGTGAGCCTGACTCTCTGCACACACGATCCAGTCATCAGCGAAGTTAAAACAATCCACTTGGTTGTCATAGAACAGATATCCTTGTTGAGGCATCGACAATCCAAGGACCTCTTCCATCGTCATGATGAACAATAATGCGGATAGTGGATCTCCCTGCCTTACAACTATGCCGAGTGAACCTCAGAATTGGGTAGATCTTCTATAACCCTCTCATAGGACTAAGCGGTGTTTCGAGCTAGAGGGGACGGTGCTCCAAACGGCTTGGCAGATTTGACAATTGTGTCATGCGAAACCGAATCAAATACTTTCGAGATATCAATAAAACCCCAAACTGAAGTTAGAAACAGCCGCTGTAGGGTGACAAACCAGGGCATGTAATAGCGATGTAGCTTCCAAACAACCGTCTCGATGTACAAATGCAAACTGGAGTGAAGGCAGTTGCAATCCACGACCACGGCTATCAGCAAGCACCTCATGAAAGCATCGGACAAGAATGGATGACACGGAGATCGGTCTCAGGTGGTGCGGTGAAGTCGGATTTAGGACTTTCGCAACTAGGGAAATACGAGCATGACATAGATGTGGGGGACAACTCCCAGATAATAAGACTAAACTGAAACCCCACCAATCGCATTAGCATTGAACTGGCAGGGCATTTTGTGCGTGGGCTTGTCCAGGCCTAGGGACGAATCGCCCATAATACGGTTAGTACGACCGACTTCTTCTCCTGTAGTTGGCTCGATCAGACTACTATGCGACTTATCCGGAGCTGAGACCAGCTCTTTCCAATACTGCTCGGCGTCTATAGGTAGGCCGCAATTTCCCTTGTATAGACTCTTCCATAATCCATCGAGCCCAGCAGATGCTGCATTTTTCCGCCTTTGGTGTTATACGGTCTGGATGGTGGCATAGTTAGCTCGGCGGATCTGCTTTCGATTGACCGGCACCTGATGGGCTGGCTGACGACGGTATCGGAATACAGTATTCCAAGTGCGCGGAAGTATCTTGGAGGCATGGAGGCCCACAAGCGGCTTCTGACGAGTAGGCCGCTGTTTGACCGATGATTGGGTCAGGGTCTCCAGATTATGATTCGTCCTGTTGTGCTTGCCAGTTAATCACTTGTAACCTGGTTTTGATGCTGGTAGCTGATCGACTAGGAAGATACTGTTCCATTTTCGCAAACAGCCCGGTCACAAAACGTATATAGATTGTCAGCCAGGCGCAATAGTTATTTTGACTCTTGTTGAGACCAGAAGACACCGGAATCCTTCACTCAGTCAATCTTAGCTGCATTATGCTGGGTGGGGTGTGCGTGCAGACGATGTTGACTCATGCCAATCTTCGTCGGATAAAGGGGAGATCAATCGGCGCGGGTCGATTGGGCAACCATGTTCGTGCAAACATTTTTATGGACGTGAACTCGAAAGTGGGTTACCAAGACACCTTTCGATTTACAGCACTTGCCACATTCCTCACACGTGAGCCCCACGAGTCTCTCCTGTATACTGGTGCGGAGGCACCAGATGATCCGTATTTTACGTTTTCGAAACAGGGTGCTTGGCTCTGTCTGGAGTTGCTGGACTCTTAGTTTAACGAGACTGACGTCCGGGCTACGAAGTCGGCGCCACGAGGTGGTTCAGCGCGCCTAGCAGATGTACAATTATTTTTCTGCATCTTATTGTGAAATGCATTAGTGACCTCTGTCGGAAGGCTATTTCAGGTATTCGCAGTTCTTGTGACCAATGAGCGTAATTGGTTCCGTCTGGTTTTTATTACACTAGACCACGTTCGTTTACGACAGATAAAAAAACCCAAGCAGTACACCACTAAGTTATTCCTCGGGGACTTGAGATGCATGACACGACTGAACAACGCTTACATAGGCTCAACCTCTTACCTATAAAAGGCAGTGAACAGAAGAATGAACTTAGTCGCACAGGGCTGTTTAGCTCTCACTCTAGAACTGGCTGAGCGTGTGACAGTCTTTTGTCAATATTCATTCCCATGTAATGATAAAGTTGTTGTATAAGGTGGTCGTCCAACACACCCGTCGCCGTGATAGTCTAGTGGTTAGGACATTGCGTTGTGGCCCCAAGAACCCAGGTTCGAATCCTGGTCACGGCAGTCACCTTTGGTTTTCCCTGAGCGGTATCCGGTCGCAATAACGCCCAAACACTTACTCGGATCCAGTCAAGTAAGGATACTTCCGCCCTGACCGGTATCCGGTCGTAATAACGCCCAGACAACTTACACGGGGTCAAGGGCTTTCCAGGTTTACTTAATGGGGCAACTCGATAAAATAACCCAGTGGGGTAATCGTCAGCTCCCTCTAGAGCTAATGAAGCGTGACTGACCAAATCACAATGTTGCTAAATTGTCTTAATTAAATATACACTACTAACGCCGTTATCAGTAACAGGTTTCCACAAAATAGGTGAGCCGGCTCTCACATTCGATAGCTTGCCGTGGCGTAAATAGCTGATGGCATCTCTAGTGATTCACAACATTCCGAGCGTTAGTTACAGCTGTCGCTGACTCCGTCATGGTCAGGGAATGGATAGCGTTATTCACCTTGCTGGTGGAGAAGCCGAGCAGTGCCCGTATTTTAATGCTTATGAACTCTTGCACTACGTCAAGTTATTCGAGTGAATTTCGGTGTCGTACTAGAGTCCAAACACTAACGTCTCCGGTGATAAAGCCTTCATCGAGTACCAACGCCACCTGAAACGATGTGCCCTCCGTTTAAAAGAAACGAAGCGGTTCTGAGTACTTTGTCACATACGGCACCAGGTGTACGCCTCAGTTCACCGGCACCACTACAAAATGGAATTTCATTTGCTGATTACTACCCCGGAGTTTTAGGAACCCAATATCAAATACGGTTGTGTGCAGACGGAAGTTTTGTATCTAATGTTCAACAAAATACGCACGCGCGACTGCAAATTTTTCTCCTCGGTCGCACGAGCTTTGTGTGAAGACAAACAGATAAGGAACCAGCGTCAAGAGATGGGCCAATCATACTGGGAAGTTCACCCATTATGGAGAGTAACAGTAATATCCAGTATGTGCGAAAAAATTGACAGTAGGCAAAGCGCGGAATTCGAAGTTTACTACACAGGCACACTTCAATGTGGACAGGCTGAGAAGCTCAACTCGATTAATCAGGCCACGTATAGTACACAACCACAGGCTTCCAAGTGACGATGCATGAAGGTGCTCTAATCGCGGCTGTCGACTGGATCCTTTGGAAATGAAGATCAGGAATACACAAGTTGAGGCTTTAACATATGATTCTATGTTGAATCCAGGTTTAGCAAGCGTCTTCAGAAGAGTCACATTGGGAAAATTGGGAGGAAGCACCATATATTCGGGAGTAATAATCCACATAGGCCCTAATTCAGTCGCAAAGTACACATTCTATAGGTTATATCCTTGAGTTGGAAACGAACCAAGGTCACGCCCAGTGTTTTCTTAACGAAACCAGTCAGATCAGGGATTTCATATATTCTGTTTCTGAGACGCTAGAACTTTTCTGCAGGTTTCCTGGCTCTATAATTATGGATAGTGCGTTTTTCACAAACATTACTTTTTGTGCTGGCTTCTCATTGCGGATGGCTGTCGCAAAAGTCCCCGTGTAGCCACTGGGTATCTCTGGGAGACTTTGTTTACGACTGTTATCACCCCAGGTTTATCATGTCTGATGATGCAATGGCCGTCATGATTACAAGCAATGTGTTTCCGTTCGCACATCGTTTACTGTGTCAATTTCGTATTATTAGGAACGAAATAAGCCTTTCCTTCACTTTAATTCTTCCAGGGATTTTTTATCGGCATGTGTATGTCAAATTTTTGGAAACATTTGGCTTGCTTACAACTTATTCGTGTAAACGATGAAGCATTTACATAAAGGAAACTACTCACAAGGTTGCTGAAAACTCTTCGACAGCCCACGACTGGTTTTACCCTTTTTTGGGCTCATCAGGTAGGCGTAGTCCCCGAGTTTCCGTCAACCTTATGTTCCACTTGAACCCAAATTGGACTGTTTTTGAGTAATACACTCATTTGCAAATGAGCCCCAAGAAGGGCGAAACCGGTCGTGGGCTGTCGAAGAGTTTTCAGCAACCTTGTGAGTAGTTTCCTTCATGAAAATATACTGCGATATCTCGAATATCGTGCCAACTGAATCATGAGGCGGCCTGTGTGCAGCACATTCAGTTGTAGAATACCATAGACGAGAGATTCAATTGAGTCTGTCGTGAGAACCAAATTGAGTTGCAAATGAGTGTATTTCTCGACGAAGCATTTACTTATATCTCAATGAACTTATCATACCGCAAGCAAGTTGGGTCAACTGTGGATTGCTGCGTACTGCAAAGTATGGCATTCGGCACACAGACACAGTAGAGGCCATGCACCGCTGCCTCAAAATGAAGTCATTCACTGGCGGGGTATGCCTCTGGGAACTATGTGAGTGTCAAAGATGAGCACGATATACTTGATATGGGAACGCCAAACTGTCATATCGTTGCGGCCTCTGGATGTGGAGCTTTTATCCCGTCCACTGATGCTTTACATCATTTAAAAAAGGTATCATCAGATGCACTCGACCTCTCCGGCTGCGGTTTTGAGCAGCGGTGAGGGGACAGCCAACCGCGAAAACCGAAGCTGCTCATGTAAGGCAAATGCTACCTTTGGACACCCATTTCGAAATATGTTCTACTTTGCAGCACAATACAAAATGGATGTAAAAGAAATCCCAGTAGATAGCAGGCAAGCATATATGGTGGCGAGCTTTTGTTAGCTCTTTAGATTTCTGACCGATTCCATAAGTTAAGCTGACGCCATTGGCGAACTGTGAGCAGTAGCAAATTCATTTGGTGTTAACAGGGCCCTCAATGATGGTATCCTAGTACCTACTTTATTGGGACCGTTCGGCCCTACCGCACCAAGAAGCTGTTTGTCCACTGAGGTGAAGAATACAGATCACCTGTGGGCCGCTGCGTGCACTTTCGCAAATGGCATCATTAGTCATCGATAGTAGCTTCAGTACCTTATTTAATTCGTTCGTCGGGATGTTGACAGTAATTCCGCCCATGCATTGATAGGTGCTCATCAGTGCCGAGAACGTCTGAATGTCTGTTCAAAGTACTTAAGACCGACGGTGCCGTATGGTTCCAACGCCATTCAAGGGCATTTGAAGTGAGAAGGAAGACGGTCATGTCAACCTCGAGGTCACTACTGAGCTTCTTTGCTGACTCTCTAAACCTCGCACAATCAATCGAGTGCCCTTTTATCCTCATGTTCGACCTCGAAGGAACCCGAAGCGTTATCTCCCGTCAGACGAAATGTTTGTTGTGGTCACATCAAAAAAATGAATCACTATTAAAGAGAAGGAGTACGCACGTAAGCGATAAATTCTGACAGCTTCTGACATCAGAATGAGCTAAAAAGTGAAGGGACAAGCGACTGCACAGACTGACTGCATTTATAGGTTTTCACTAGTTTCCCTGAAGGATTTCCTTCCTTCAATAAACATCAATTCAGGCATTGTCAACCATTGGCAGCTGGAACAATGATCCAGAGAAACACAAGATAGATGTCTCACCCCACTGCAATTAGTATCGCGAATCATTAAGACTTTCTGTTCCTCTCATTCACACTTGCTGGAGCTAAGAGAATGGATTTTGTAAGCGCCGGACCAAAAGATCGTGAGTGCGCTTCCGAAAAGAGCTAAGCAAAGGTAGTCTATGCAGATCATTCTTCAGAAGAGATCACTCTTAATCTGCCCTTTGAAACTTCCATTGGATTTTAGAGCAGTCTATGAATTCGTCCTGAGGCATACTTTGGTCAACCAGATTGCAGAAGCTATCAAAAGTCATCAAACCTATCTGGCCAGTCAGGCGTTCTTTTTCGATGGCTTTTCCCGATGTGGGCTCATACAGGCGAAGTGGACATGAAAAGCGGATAGGTCCAGCCGATGGCTGGTTTTCCATTCCTTCCTGTCGAATTCGGCTTTATTTGGGTTGGAAACCATAGAAACATTCAGGTGAACGCGATAGTGAACATTTACAACCAATTTGAGAACCATTCATCTAAACATGATTAGATCTAGAAAAACTAACACTCAGGCACGCCCTCACTCAAACCTTGTGACTACTGACGGATTCCCGGTGCACTTGAATACTCAGTGATTATCGATTGACAGGAGGCGAACAGATAGAACAAACACATGGTGTGTGTGTGGGTTCGGGTCGACTGCAAAGCGTAACATAGCCGATTGAATATCAATGAGTTTTTAATACTACCTCGCTCAACCTATGGTGATCCATATATGTAAGTGACCCGATCGCCTAATCCGTCTAACGTTGATGCTGGATGGAAGAAATCAAGAAACCTTTAGATATGTGGTAACTATACACAAAGTTCTATTTTCTGCTACAGGAAGATGTTCCCTTGATGTAGGTTGTGATGGAAAGAATACTCGAGCGCTTAAAACGACCATTTTGATAATGTCAACGGTGTTCTTGTTGTCAGTTCCTATTCAGATTGCCCGAATGAGAGTCTGGAGGTGGTAGGCTAGCACTAAGTCACCTCCCCGTTACCCCTTATTCTTTTCTCATAATAAGGCCTTCAAGCAAATCATGGTTGTACGGTAGCAAAGCATTTGTGTTGAACACTGGTGTTATGCTGTCTAGGCTGAAGTGGCCTGGATAAAGGTATTTGCTTTTGGGGGAATAGTGTGGTGAGAAAGTAGTTGGAATAGCTGTTTTCCACAAACGCCTTATACCCCAGACACATTTGAAGTGTAGCGAGGAATAAGGAAACTTCAGCTGACTGCATACATAACGAGGAATTATCTGTCCTTCGGCTGTCTCATGAGGAGTGAAGATCACCGCGCACAGAGAGTTTAGATACCATCGCATGTGAACATGCGGCGTCTTACGAACCTTGACCGCTGCTTAAGTCGTTTCGACAAACGATTCGGAGCGTACTGTCCGAAACTTTTGTGACTGCAAATCATCATCATCGACAGAAATATCAGTGTTGACACTGATGCTTCACTACAAATCAATGCAGAAGAGCACAGCACGTTCGACTAAGTGTCACGCGGATCCTAAAACGGTACGGGCCTAGGCGAACTTACACTGAAAACCCTTCCACGTGGGTTTGATCACTCCGCTTTTACACGAAACGCCGGTTGTTATTGAGCAACCGTCACAGAGGATGCAGTATTCAGTCCGTTATGAAAAAACGTTCAGCTGTGGCACCCTTTTGGTGCCTAGCTGCCATGCCACCCGAAGGTTGCACGAGGGCTGGGATACTGCCAGGTTGTCCAAGCCTAGACAGGGGAAGTCGAGAATCAGAGGTCGGGTTCAAACCTCGCGCTCCAACCACTTGGAACATCTCGCTCCTCAGCCCGTTATATTAGCATGACACTCTGGTACTCCCATTTCATGTAATGTGGCAAAGTACTGTCAGTGGTGTTATTGTTATCAGCTAAGATCCAGACGATCGGCAACCGGAAGCGTAGATAATCGCGATGTACTTGCACCAGCCTCCTGCCCACCCCAATAATTTTTACAATAAAGCACCGGTTTTCAGATTGGCATTGTTGTCATTAGTAATGACTTCGAGCCACACTCAGCCCAACATGACACTGCGTGCAAGATATCACATAATTATGTTTCGGTAGCCATGTTTTGCGACTCGAATGTGATTTCAGCTGTCTGCTTACTCAAATATTGTGCAAAAAATCTGACCAGGTGATCAGGGAGAGCTAATTGTCAGACACGAATCAGCCGAGTTCAGGATGCCTGGATTCAACTCTAAGAAGACCACATGACACGACAGCAGACGAAATGACTACAATGCACAGACAGGTATCAATTGTGAGCTGAACTAGAAGACGTAGGTTGAGTTACAGGTGCACCGATATCCACGACCGACCAGGCACGACCTCATGCAATCAATGACTGTCACAAAAACTAGGGAAATTATCTCCCTATTGAGCACAAAAACAAGACGTCGCAACATAGACCATCATCAGTTGGTATCAAACTACAACATAAAGTAAACAACGGTGCAATGGATGAGAGGAATCTGATTATGGGACGCTGGGATGATTAAGGTGGAACGAATGTAGTGATGTGAACCAGCTTAAACTTACTGGTGCGGAAATTGGGCTTATCAATCAAATCAACAAAACTACATACATGCTGCGTGATGTTTGGGAGAGCTATAATGGTCCAGCAGTAACGATTGAGATTAAACGACAAAGGAACAACGACAGCAGCAACCCACGAGCACGAAATGTAATCAATGGTCGAAAGAAAAAGGCTGTCAAATGTGCAGAAAATACTGCGTGGGTCGGCCGATGTGAATTGGGAACTAAGGCTAAAGCAAGTTTCAGAGGTCCGCTGAACAACCAGTGAATTTGTTGCCGGATGTAAGTTACCAATGGTATAAGCTGTTATTTTATGGTAACATGTATTCGTTAAATTATAAAGCCTCGAAGAACCGGGTAGATCAGGTGACCTACAGAAATGCTCATCCAGCCTAACAGATGGAAATAGTTCCCTCGACCAGTGCCAATTTTCGCAGCTTTGGTGTAATACACATACCTGAGTTAGTTGGCCCCATGGAAAGTGATGTACCCAATCAAAATTCGCTCCCCACAGTTACGAATCTTGTGATCACTCAATATTTTTCGCCTACGGTGCCGGGGCCGTTTGTTCTCCTTTCGAAAACGTTAGAGCAGAAAATTTGAGCGAGGAAGGCTATCAAGTTACTGGCCTTTAACAGATCCCATAATAAAGTTGATTATGGTTCCTTAGAAAGTCGAACGTAACTGAGCCAAAAGTATGAGAAAATGAAGTCCAGGGAAAACGTGAAATTCCATAATTTTCAATAAAAATACATCTAACAATCACGGTTAGGTTGAAAGCACACGGTGAACAAAAGACGGATGACCGGCAATAAGTTTCGGAATTTGCGGCTAGGTGGGGCAAAATTCGCGAGGTTATATACACACAAAAAAACGAGCCAATCAGGAACTTGAAATGATACGTTCAGCCGGCTAGGATAAGAGAGTGTATGGAGCGATGTAGCAAGCAAAAGAGGAATAAACAGTTTGAGGCCGGGACGGAACGATCAGTTCAAGAACTATCTTCCGAATCGGTATCACTTAGCTTCAAGTCATGTTCGATAAGTTTACGGTGCGCTGGAAGATAGTTTGATACTGGTGAGTTTGTGCTCGTTTTGGCTCCAGTGACTACAGACGGTTTGGCAGAGCGTTGGCCCGCCTGAGATTGTGCCGGTTTTCGAGGCGGTGTGTTGTTGGACTCGGACAGGCTACTCAAGTTGCTGGATTGAGACTGCGTTTCTGCATCGCTTGCATCATCACTCAACTCTCCGTTGCTTGTGTCGCTGTCGCTGCTTTCACTGGCACTAAGGCTTCCACTACTACTGCTGCTACTGCTAAGGGTCCTTGTTTTAGCCGAAGTGTTAGCGACAGGTTTGCTGGTGGAGACGACTGGGGGAGCTGTGTTTTCTGTAAGTTTGCGCTTTGGTGGTGAGGTTGTGGGGCCCGCCTTGTCCCGTCCAGCTCCCATGTCCCCGGGTACAAGTGGTCGACGAGCGCTATCCGACTGGGTTTCAGAGTTGGATGTCGAAGCAGTGTTCACCAAGCATGGTGTAGGTTTCCGTTCTTCACGTGTCTTCTTCAACTGGACCGCGTGGGCAACTCGCTCCAAAGTCAACTCACCGGTCTGCATAAATGAGGAGCGTTAACTAGGTTAGGTTCTGTGTGAAAAATGAACCTGATAAAGTAGAGCGTGTGACAAGGGAAAGATTGGAAATAATTCTAAATCGGGTTGAAGATGGTGACGTGAAATATAGTGGGCTAAGTGTGGGACCCTTCGGAACATAGCTATCGGGGGAATCCACGATGTTTTTAGGGAGGGCTAAAATGGCTATCGTGTTACGTTACCGGTGATAGTCATTTGGCCGACACTAATTAACGTCATTGTTGGAAAATTTGGTTTCCGCGGTGCAGGAACGCTATCGGAAAAACCGAAGTGACCTTTGTCTGAGGGTGATCCATTTAGGAGGGCGCACAGTTCTCCACGCAAAACGAATCCTGACGTTCTGTCAGTTTTATGTCTTTGGTGGTTCAGTCGTGTAAAATACAGGATGGTCCACAAGCACGGCCCAGATCATTACATCGTTACCTCTCAATAAGCACCGCTCACGACGTGGGTACAATTTACACAGGACCGTGAGGTGTTAACCATTGAAACAAGTGTGTGAGTGAGTGGAAAGAACGAAAAAGGGGAAACTTGATGAGGAAAACATGAGCATGGGTGGAAGATTCGAGAACAAAGTTCCTAGGAACCAAGACTGGGCAGAAGGCAATTAGCGGGATTGACCCTACATAGCTACCAATCACCCAAGACCCACTAGTGACACAACACGAAGGACAAGCCTCATCTAGACGGTTCGGCTAGGAAGCGACATGATACATACTACTGGGATCGGTCACGGTGTGACAGTATCCACTTCCATTTCGCGTTCTGATGGCACATGTTTCTTCAACAAGAATTTAGAGCGGAATGCAGCACCTTAGCCGGTAGATCGTCTGTACTATATTACTGATTTTAGGAGAGAGATCATTGCAACCTCTGTCATCGTATTCCTGCTCGCTCTGTCATCTGGATGTGTAAGCTTCTATCAGATCACTCATGGCGTCCGTCCACCAGACAGACTGACATAAACCACCAATCAATTTCCATCAACTCTTTCTACTAAAACAGAAAAAACAGAGTGAGTGGGTTGTCACGTCGTGAGATTCAGAGAACAGGGTTGTTTCATTAAGGTCTAGTGACTGCGCAACGAGTCAGGCAGAGCATCGAGAACGCAGGCAGTTCTAGGTAGAAACTCTCGACGTAACATCTAAAATTTCAGTGCCAAGCAACCTTCTCCGGATTTTGGCACGTAGAATGTCTCTAACTGTCGAATCGGGAGTCGTTGTTTTGGAAACTCGTAAGCCGAGACTAGCACGTGAGTATCCGAAGTTTTTACTATTCTTGTAACCCAGGGTAGAATTCGGTTAAAATTTTAATAAGCAGGGAGCGTGTGTCAAACCGCAACCTGGTCGCTCATGGATATCTCTTGTTGTTGTTAGTGGATCACAAAAACAACGAGTGTGGTTGTTGGTTTTACGTGACATTCGACGTGGGGCTTTACGGGTAGTAAACTGATGCAAAAACACCATCATCAAGAACAGTTTGGAACAGTAAACAAAGGACAGGGTGGCTGAACATCCTTAATTGTGGAAAATAGGCTAATCACGAAATGCGTATGTCTTAACAAGATATATCCTGGTGGAGTTACTCTCATCGATGTTCGATAGGTTGCCAGCGCACCCGAAATGCTGGATCACAAGCAACATAAAAGGAAGCAAGCGAGTACGACGTTTAATTGAAAAGCAACAGTCCCCTCGAATAGGGACTACCCGTAGGGCCCGGTTGAAACAGCCCATTTGGCGGGAGGAGATTCTTAGTGGGGGCAAACCGGTTGACTAACGCTGTGCGATAACTAAATGTCTCTTGAGCTAACCAGGTTGTCTGTCATCCGTCATCGATCGTCGTTTGGGTTTTGCATGCAATCGGTTGTGATGTCAACTTTTTGGTTCACCAACTGGTGATTATCTCTTATCGAGGGATCTGCTTTCCTCAAGCCGCCAAGGCTGTTATTGGACTGGGATTTCCTAAGGTCACAGTAAGTGACTTGTATCTGCTTGCCATTGTGGGCTCTCTGAGTACTCATGACAATTTTATGCGTGGCACATAGCCTTGAATGTACATTTTTGCCATTTAATCTCACACCAGATCCAGTATGACGGACACTTTGTGCCTGATATGCGAATCTTGATTGACTGTGCTAGCGCCTACCGCGCCTTGTTTGTCCTTTCTCCGGCTGTTGGTCTTTTTTTTAATGCGTGTTTCCATATCAAAATTTTCACGTACTTTGGGATTCATTTCATCAGACTGGAACCGTTCTGGACATGATCTCGAATGAGACGTTTCTCTCTTTTCTTCCATATTTTCCTGTTACTCTTTCGCATTCATCGCTTGCATTCATTTTTTATGTTTGTGACCATGCTCTTCAAAAATAAATGATAATAGTAGTAGTGCGATTCATTTGACTGAAAGAGGTTGAACTATGTTTTTTTGCAAGCGTTTATTGATCTGAATCAAATAAACGTGGGATTCCTTTCTTCGTTACTCAGTCATATTTCATTGCTTTGTGTTTTTGCTTGTACTTCAACTCCACTATCACAGGAAGATATTGGCTAAGGCAATAGTTTCACATGGATACCCTTCCATACTGGGAGTAGCTTGTTGCGAACTGTTGCGACACGTTGGCTAAAAAGTCCACAACATTAAGAGAATTGGCTAACTCCTTGCAACCGAGTATGTTGACCAACCACAAAACCAATGTCCCAAATCGTGCGAAAATAGGCTGAATTGTTTACATGCGCTTACCTGTTACAGTTAAACTTCGAGACGTGACTCTACTAACAGTTGTTTACGGCTTGTTTCGCAATGGTCTCGAGGGGAACCTGACTGCAGAGGCGGTCGAAGGGCCGGTGTTGGATTCCAACCGTGAACTTTTCGGTCACTAGCTTCGCGTCCTAGCCACTGTGCCACCTCCAACTCTAGGATTAGCTTGGACTAGTGATGAACTGTCCTTGCATCCATTCACCGTGAAATGAACTTCCTAAGAGCATTCCCGAAGAGAGATCTTCAAAGAGACTGTAATTTGTTAGCTCTAATTTTTCTTGGCTTAAAAGAGACAGAGACTGCTATAAGCAATCACGCTTCCAAGACACTGACCATACATAGGAAGTTTAAATACGAGGTTCACATAACTGAGCATTTCAAAGACTTTTCAAGCAATCAATGAACAACGCTCAAAACGAGGTCGGACGAAGCTCTTTTGAGCTGCTAGATAAGGGGTGAATCACGTGTGTACGTTCATAATCAATAATGACCGACTGGATTAAGAACCGTCCCCACACATCAACTCCAACATGCAGGGTCATATTTGGCAAGCCAATGAACCTGACTTGGCCAATTTGGAGTCCCAGCTCAGCAGCGGCACGTGCGGAGAGGCAGAGTGGCTATGAGAGGGAGCAGCAAGCAGTGCATTCCAAATAAAAACCAGGGGGAATTGCTGGTACTCCTACTTCAACGAATAACAACTGCAGGACCGAAGCAGAGAGAAATAAAATAAATGGTAGCACTGGTTCACCAATGCAACCTAAAGTTGGAACCAACCGGAATACATGACACTTAAAGTTCGTATGTGGGTCCTAGAACTGAAAGTTGAGGGGTTGATGATTTCGCGCCAACGCAGCATGCGATCGATTCCGTACTTTTCAAGAAAACGTGATTGATGAACTCATCGGTACGTTGAGCTCAAAGTCAGCCATGTATGGCTCCTTGATTTCAAAAAATCGATATGCAAACAATTCACTCGGCCTCACCGGTCAGGCTCGTAAAATTAAGACAAGGTGGTCTCACGAAAGATATGATGGTCACAGTCCAGTGAACATTTTGATTGTTGATGAAACACAAATTTAATTTTACACGGTACGTAAAGGAAATTGGCTTTCGGCAGACGGCCTTCGTCTGGTGTACAAACGTTGAGGAAACAGGACTTTTCTAGCATCCAACACTATCCCCCAATTCTGCTGGTGAGTAAGAAGAAACGATGCTTTAGAAACGTAAATCCTGGACAGCTTGGTCTTCGCTTGGAGGCGAGCCGAAGGGCACGAAGGGGGATAAACCATATGAACAATCGATTGTATTCCGATATCAAGATATTATGGTTGCTATGGGTGACGATACGCCTCACTCTCTTCTTGATCACCGCTTTCTAATGCCAACGTTAAACTACGGTGATTTTTACACAACTTTTGCTATAGATTTTGCTGCTTTCTAATGCCAACGTTAAACTACGGTGGTTTTTACACTTTTGCTATAGATTTTGCCCTTTAGATTTCTGAGCAAGTGAGTGCACTGGCAGTGTTTACGGGACTCATCTTAATTCTGAAGGACGGAATTTAGGCCCGTTTCGACAGTGTATCCCATGAAGGAAGCACCGTACTCTGGATCTGGATTAAACAGCACAACAATCAGTTCCACTTCTTGCAATAACATTCGAGGGAGCATGGGGCATTTAAAAACAAATACCTCCTAAGTTGAGACATCACAAGATGGTTCACCTGTTTTGACCATAGTTTCATTCATTTCCCAACCCTATAAGGGACGGGAAGTTGGTGCTGGGAAAACTTCGTGAAGTCATGCGGCTGCTCACCAGTGCAAAAAACCAATCAAGGTGGCTTCTTACAGCCACTGCATAATAAAACCGAATAAATGCGTTTGTGTCAAGTGGCAAACAAGTCCAGCTTTTAGAATATATGCCGTAGAGATAGCATATTCCGGTCAACAGCGACAACGGTTTTAAACACACAGAACCAGTCATGGAACAAAAAGCCTAAATTACGCTGTTCGTTGAGGCTGAACAGCAATCTGTTACAAGTAATCAGGGGGGGGGCTTAATCGAAGCTACGGTTAATCTGCAAAGACATTTATCTTAGCTGAGACGCAAAGATGATGTACTCTTGGGCTTAATCGAAGCTACGGTTAATCTGCAGACATTTATCTTAGCTGAGACGCTCACATCTTCAGACCAAGTGTAAGAAACTCCGGTTGCTTTGCTACTTCCACGACCTACTATAACCTCACTAGTGTTCAACAGTCTTCGTAAAAATTCCCATTTGTAGAATTGTCTCACGAAAGCGCTCCCTTATCAGTTAGCCAAACTAACAATTAAGTTGTAACAGCCCTTCGGTGCATAGCTGCGACGAAGGAAGCGTGAGAGTTGATATAGTCCCAGGTTGCCCAAGTGGCGACAGGAGCAGTCGAGATGCCAAAGTTGGGTTTAAACCACGAACCTTCCGGCCAGTAAGTTCGAGCTTATCTTTGTGGGACAGTGAACCACAGACTTTGTTCCGGGTGTTCAGTTACACAGAGGCCAGGCAAACATCAACCGTTGTACGAAATGGTGTTTGCGCTGCTTGAGTTCGGAGTGAAAGTGGTCCCACTTGTGATATAATACGTCCCGAATCGGCAAGTTTCCTGGTTTTGCTGATACTCGTCAATTGCAGGACTGGAGCAAAGTGGTCTTCCTGGATAGAAAGGTCAGTATTGTAGAGGACGGTCAAGGAACTGAGACCACAGCGAATAAGCTAAATGCCAAATGAAGTTTAAACTGATTAGAACGGCCCCCTCTTCTGAAAGGATCATCCATCAGAACAGACCATCTCCATCAGCCTCTCCCCAGACTGCCTCTAGAAAGGGACACTGAGCTCATTACAGGCATTCGACTCAGCATTACGTACAAACTTCCCTCATTCAAGATGGAACTGTGTGAGGTAGTTCAATTTAAACCGGTACTTTAGCTTTTCGAGTGGATACGCCCTAAACGAGAATATTATGCGGTAAAATTAGTTTAGTGAGTGATACACTCAGTATGCGAAACAGTACAGCGGCCGGACACTTGAGATGGGTAATGAGTACGTAACGCCCACAATATTGTGCAGCAACGGAATGTTACACACACTAGTTGCTGTATCATGGACTATTGGATTTCACTACCCGGACACACAGAGGACCTGGGATTGGGCAGGGCTGTATGACACCGGACATACCCCCAGATCGCTGACAGTGGGATGGCATCTTGTTGGGTCAGATGTGTGTGGATAAGTAAGCGATTGTGAATAAGCAATAGCATCACTACCAGGGCACGGCGGGCTGCCCACAGAAAGCCACAGCACTGTAAAAATGACTGTCTGACCGATTTTGAGATAAAGACGTTGACCCGGCGACTGATGCTACCAGAAGTTGTGAAAGCATCCAGGACCAGCCATGGTCGTTTCTGAGATATTTTGTTTCACTGAGGATCTCAGTAGACTAAGCTCCGAGTGGATTGAGAGCCCCGTACTCTGCGCGTTGGAGCTCGAGACAGGTGCACACTTACCAACCCGAAGATCCGTGGCCTCAACCAACGACTGATGCTACCAGAAGTTGTGAAAGCATCCAGGACCAGCCATGGTCGTTTCTGAGATATTTTGTTTCACTGAGGATCTCAGCAGACTAAGCTCCGAGTGGATTGAGAGCCCCGTACTCTGCGCGTTGGAGCTCGAGACAGGTGCACACTTACCAACCCGAAGATCCGTGGCCTCAACCAAACCATCTCAACTCAACTGCTCCTGTCTAGGTTTGGGCAACGCGGTAGTAGCTTAGCTCTCGTAATTCCTTTGGACGGCACGGGAGCTATGCGCCGAAACGGTAAGTTGGGACGACGATTATTATTATTAGTATTAGTATTATTATTATATTACTCTACCCGTTGTTTCACCGGTCAGGTTCTGTAACCAAAGGTTTCTAGTGGGCCCGTATGTCTCGATGAAGGCCCGTGGTCCGGTTAGGGCAACCAGCTAGCTTACCGGCAACTGGTGGATATTGGGGATATAGGTATCCCCATAAACCATTTATTGTTGAATTATTGTCAAGTTATTTTCTTAAGGATTTTAATTTTTCGCGCTGTTTCCAAAAGGCTATGTTCCTCCCCTATTGACCAGCTGTACTTTGTATGTGCCAACGCATTTGTCGTTCTTCTATGTCATGCAAAATGTATACAATTGGCATTGTTTCCTCTCTACATTGCCTTTGGTTGAGGGAGTAAATGATCTTCGAAGGTCCGGTCTACTTTTTTCCACCCTACGGGTGATTGTGCTCGCGTCGTAGTGCGATTGTTCTCGTGTAGCGGACAGCAGTTTATTACAGCATGTTTATACGTAACGCTGAGCGACTGATTGATTTTTCTCCAAAAAAGACAATCTGAGAATGATCACTGTTAACTTGAGCTGTTCATCATCATCATCATCATCGACAGCATGGCATCAGTGTTCAACACCGATTCTACAAAAGGCTGAAAATTTTGGGGACAACTGATCGACACACATTTACATATTCATAAAAAAGTGATCCACACTTCAAAGAGTCACTTTTGCGTGACCGAATTAAGCAGACATGTGAGGACTTACCCGTTTGTTGTAGATTAAAATGCATTCTTTCTGAACTGGCCTAGCGCTTCCACGAAAGCAGGTCGATCCGGGACCAATGGATGCCACATTAGGCAAGTTAACCACAACTTCCTTGCCTTCATCTACTCTGATCGAACCCGGTTGTGACCGATCGACTGAAGCGGGCATGAAGTCACAGCGCATTGTCATGAAAGTGGCAGCATCTGGGTCTAAAAAACTCTTCCCTAACTTCACGTCGAAAGTCCCGTTCAATTGCATTTGGGGGAAGGGAGGAGGGGAAGAGCTTGGACGATAACTTCAATAGAACGGCTGGACAAGTGACACGGCTGAAAGAGGAAACAGTGTGGTAAAACCCAGACGGAATACGGGAGGTTAAAAAGCCTAACCGTTTTAGGATACAGTGAAGTCATGGTACTAGAAACCAGCAGTTGACAGTGAGCATTAGCTCCCACGACCAAAAGCTACCACCTGACATGGTGGTCGGTCTTGTGTACTGCAATGATCCCGCCGTCTACACTGGCTGGAACTTCATCCCACGAGGTAGAGTCATGCCAGGAAGGCCAACTAAGATCAGTCAGATCAGGTCAGCAAGATTCTGTGTCACAATTAATCACATTAGCCGGTCTTGGGGTAGTCATACCGTCCTCTGCGATGAGATTATGAAATTAGGTGATTCCCCCAAGCAACCAGTATACCCAAGCTTATGGAACCAGCGCAGCATCCTTCTCTCTAGGGAGGGCATGTCAGAAAAGATCTGCCACAAAAACCGCACACTCTGATCGCCTATCGATCGACCATGAACACCGGCACATTATACCCAGACGGAATACGGGAGGTTAAAAAGCCTAACCGTTTTAGGATACAGTGAAGTCATGGTACTAGAAACCAGCAGTTGACAGTGAGCATTAGTTCCCACGACCAAAAGCTACCAACTGACATGGTGGTCGGTCCTGTGTACTGCAATGATCCCGCGGTCTACACTGACTGGAACTTCATCCCACGAGGTAGAGACATGCCAGGAAGGCCAACTAAGATCAGTCAGATCAGGTCAGCAAGATTCTGTGTCACAATTAATCACATTAGCCGGTCTTGGGGTAGTCATACCGTCCTCTGCGATGAGATTATGAAATTAGGTGATTCCCCCAAGCAACCAGTATACCCAAGCTTATGGAACCAGCGCAGCATCCTTCTCTCTAGGGAGGGCATGTCAGAAAAGATCTGCCACAAAAACCGCACACTCTGATCGCCTATCGATCGACAACACACACCGGCACATTATTCAAAACCAAACAGTCTGCTATTGCTGCTTAAAAGGTACTTGATGCGCGCAGCCGCATCGGGAGTCAGACAGTTATGTTCTAACTCCTTCGCCGTCGGACTGGGCCAACCCCTTGCGGCCAAGCAAGTCAGACCACTGAAATATCGGCTCCGTGTAGGGTCCTCGAACAAAACCCTACATCCTCCCACTGCTTTGTGATTCAGAATTCTGGGTAAAAGCTCAAGGTGGGGGTACCTCAACCAAATTACTTTCCTCGACTTGAGTAACCGCCAAGAATATATACCCCCTTAAAATTGATGCATGTTGTGTCTCCGAAATATGCATATAAAACCAAAGCGCGCCGAAACACATCCAAATGCCAAGGACGAACTCAGCCCGTTCACGTTTCACTGTCCGTGTCCAGTGATCCAGAAGCGATAACTCATGAAATATATGGCGTGTGAGTTGCACTCAGTTTCGGGGCTAGACGCACTTCCATTATCATGATCATCGACAGCATGAAATCAGTGCCCAACACCGATGCTTCGCTGCCATACAACCATGATTTATTTGAAAAAAATATCGGGGAAAAAAGGACTAGGTGGACGGGGAAGGGACTTGGTGCAAGCTTACTGCAATAATTCCGAGGTACCTACAACTCCGGACACTCATTCAGGCAATCTGGATAAACTGACAAGATCGCTATTGACATCGGTTGGCAGCCATATCTTACAGTGTCTCCAACCAGGCGCAGTGGCGATCGCTTCGCTTTAGACCCTCGCAAGTTAGAAAGAAGCATGCCAATCCACCGTCTTCGGAGAGCTACTATAGCTCCGTATCGATCTGAGCTAGCTCAACAACCGACAGTGAAGCATCGGCGTTGAACACTGACGTCATGCTGTCGATGATGAGCCCAACAACTCCCTACAGTGCGATGGCGCACCCAGATCCATCAAACGCCAAATAATGAAGACTAAAGAAAGACCTAGAACTTTGGCGGACAGTGAAAGCTCAGGGGATGGGGGTTGGGATGTCAATATTCCCAGAAACTGTATCTTTCTGTGTGCTAACGAACTTCCGGCATTTCAAGGTCAAACTATATATATATATATATATATATATATATATATATATATATATAT